GCATGGAGCACTGGGTGTTATGCACAAACAATGAATCATGGAACACTACATCTAAAACTAATGATGTAATGTATGGGGATTAACATAAGAAAAAAAAAAAGTTGCTGCTGCTCTGTCAGCTCCTCTTCTATTCTTTTTTTTTTAAGATTTTTTATTTATTTATTTGACAGAGACACAGCAAGAGAGGGAATCACAAGCAGGGGGAGTGGGACAGGGAGAAGCAGGCTTCCCGTGGAGCAGGGAGCCCGATGCGGGGCTCGATCCCAGGAACCCGGGATCATGACCTGAGCCGAAGGCAGACGCTTAACGACTGAGCCACCCAGGCGCCCCGAGGACAGTCTTTTTAACAAATTATGTTGGGGAAATTGGATATACACATAAAAAAATGCAGTTGGACCCTTCACACCATCACAAGTTGTCTCACATCATTTATAAGAATTAACTCAAAATAGATCCAAGACCTGAACCTACTACAACTATATAATTAGGGGAAAACCTCATGACATTTGATTGCCAATTTCTAGGATACAACAATAGGTTGGGCTCCATAAAATTAAAAATATTTGTGTACAAAGGACACTATCAACAGAACGAAAAAGCAGTCCACAGAATGGGAGAAAATATTTGCAAATTATATATCTGATGAGGGGTTAATATCCAAAACATACAGAGTTCCTTACAACTCAGCAGTAGCAAAACAACTTAATTAAAAATGGACAAAGAACTTGAAGAGATCTTTCATCAAAAAAGAAATACAAATGACTAATAAACTAATTGAAAAGGTGTTCAGTATTACTAATCATTAAGGAAATACAAATCAAAACCACAATGAGATAATTTTTTATACCCATTAGAAGGACCATTATTAAAAAAAGAAAAACAAGTGTTGGTGAAGATATGGAGACATGGGAACCCTTTTGCATTGCTGTATAAAATGGACCAGCCTCTGTGGAAAATGATACGGTAATTCTTCAAAACGTTAAATGTAGAATCACCATATGATCCATAAATTCCATTTTTGAGTATCTACCCAAAAGTGAAAGCGAACACTCAAATATTTACACACCCCTGTTTTTAAGAGTGTTACTCATAGCAGCCAAAAGATGGAAGCAACCAAGTGTCCATTAACAGATGAATGGATCCAAAACATGTTACACAGATACAATGGAGAATCCTTCAGCTTTGACAGGAAGGAGATTCTGAGACATGCTACAACATGGCATAGACCTCGAAGACTTTTATGCTGAATGAAATAAGCCAGGCACAAAAGGATAAATACTGTGTAAATCCTCTTACGTGAGGTACCTAGGATAGTTAGATTCATACATAAAGTAGAGTGGTGGTTGCCAGGAGATGGGAGTTATTTGATGTGTACAGAGTTTCAGTTGAGGAAGATTAAAAGTTCTGGGGGCAGGTTGTCCTGATGGTTACACACAGTATAAATGTACTTGGTGCCACACAACTGTACACTTTAAAAATGGCCCAAATTAAGGGGTTCATGTTAGGCGTATTTTATACAATTAAAAAAAAAAGATGGAAGAAAGAAAGATGATGTAAGAAAAGTGGAAAACATCTTAATGTGTAGGGGTCCAGATAGAAAGGCCTCTTGTGACTGAAATCTGCACATGTTTAATATGGCGGTATGTACTGAACTTTCATGTATGTGGTAGCATCTTCAGAAACTATACCACGTGTTGGCAGACTTTTCCTGTGAAGGGCCAGACAGTAAATATCTTGGGCTTTGTGGGCCATGGGCTGTTCATAGCAGGTGCTCAGCGCTGCCATTACAACAGTGTGAAAGTCATACGCACGCAGTGTGTCCGCAGATGAGCACGGGTGTTCTACAGGAAACCTAGTCACAAAATCAAGTGGCCAGCCAGGTAACAGAGGTTTTTGAACACCGACATCTTCTACGATACCTGACAGACCAGTGCCCAGTCCTGAACTAGTTCTCCACTCTCTAGAGGTGTTTCGGATAGCCTAGCCAGCTCCATAATGTGTCACCCAGGAGAATATTGAAAGACTGATAGAGCGTGGCTTGTTCCAGGACTGCAAGGATGGCCAGCAGTAAGAAATCTGTTATGTAATTAATCGCACTAGTGGATAAAAAATCCACATGATCATATCATTGGATATCAAGCAGCATTTTATACAGTTTAATATGCAAAAATATCCCATATAGGTTAACTTAAATATGAAAAATAAAAATCCCAGTTAACTAAAAGAAACAGAAAAATTAGTATAAGGGATTTCTATATTCTTTTGGTGGGGAAGGCCTTCCTTTTTTTTTTTAAAGATTTATTTATTTATTTTAGAGAGAGGGACAGAGTGAGTGGGCGGGGGGTGGGGGAGGATGAGAGAGATAATCTCAAGCAGACTCCCCGCTGAGCATGGAGCCTGATTGGGGGCTCCCTGTGGAGCTCTATCCCACAATCATGAGATCATGACCTGAGCCAAAACCAAGATTTGGACACTTAACCAACTGAGCTACCCAGGTGCCCCTAGAGAAGGCCTTTCTAAGCATGACTCCAACACCAGAAATCTTAATTGGAAAAAAAAAAATTCAGATATGATGCACAGAATAGAATTTTCGTATGGCAAAATATAATGTAATAAAAGTTAAAGGAAAAATTGGATATGCTTATAGATGTATCAAAAACGTCATGGTGGCACCTGGTTGGCTTAGGGGAGCTCGTGACTCTTAATCTTGGGCTTGTGAGTTCTAGCCTCACATTGGGTGTAGAGATTACTTAAAAATAAAATCTTTAAGGGGTCCCCTGGGTGGCTTAGTTGATTAAGCGTCTGCCTTTGGCCCAGGTCATGATCCCTGAGTCCTGGGATCAAGTCCTGCTTTGGGCTCCCTGCTCAACGGGGAGTCTGCTTGTTCCTCTGCCCCTCCCCCC